ATATATATATATATTTATATATACCGTGGAATCGGCAATGCGTTTTAGCAGAAACAGCTTGATAAAACCCTCCACGACCAGCGTTTGGGTCTGCAAGTCCCACGTGTCCAATTGATGCTCATTTACGCAAAAGTAGGTCGCAAGGCCGTCCAAAATCGAACCCGACGTGATCATGTCCCCATCTTCTTCCTAGAAGAAATACATCATGTGATATGTTATAAATTTACAGAAATATCAACGATATATATAAGAAATATTATTGATGCGATACGAAGTGCCGGACCCCAGTCAATCAAATCACGCCGACCAAACCGATCACGAATCGCGCCCATGGATTGGTCAGTCTGAAAATGCGTGTCGCTGATTGGCTACACCATTTTGTCACTTTTCGACAAGCAGCAAAATCAACCAATCAAATGGCGAGGCGCGATTTGTATACCAGTTCAGCAAACCAGCCACAAGATGGGACAAATTCAATCAACCGCACAATTCATACCTACGATATATATATATACAGAAATACCCACCACGGGAGTGATTTCAAACGACTTGAACGCTGCGAAAAAGTCGAGCAACACCTATACCGACCAAGTGATTTCGTTAGAAATAGTACTCTTGATATGGAGTACCCGAATGCACGTGTGCTTGGAGTCTCCGTCCTCGTCGTCGGCGTTGAGTACCCGCCAAAACACAATCGTATGGTTGAGGGCCATTTTCTACATATTACATATATATATATATTATATATATATAAGGAATACAGGTATAGTATACGACGTACGCGGTCCAACAAGCAATACAGACCCAAGCATTCGAGCCCTTTTTCACGTAACGCTGGGATATCGCTATCCACGGCGGGCAAAATCAGGTGCAAAATGTTGGCAATCATGGCGTTCTTCAAGCTCTATGAAATATATATATTTACATTTCAAACGATTCGTATATATATATATATATATATCCTTGTACTTGTCGGGTGAACTGTAGGATCTTGGACGACAATTCCAGGCACCGCAAATAGCGAAGTGTTTTCGGCTCTTCCAACGACTTTTCGAGCGCCACTCCTTCTGCATGCAACTCGTCGTATTCCTAATATATATATATACAGAGTCATGTTTTACATAGAAAATTCAATACAAACACTCGATTATTCGAATTTGGAGTGTTCAATTGAATGACCAAACATAAAACGGCAGAGAATACTCGATCGACCAATCAAAAACACTCCAAAAATCCAATTGGCCAATCATGTGTCACCAATCAGGATACTTGGACTTTGTATACCACATGAGTTTCTATATGGTTGTGTTTCTTCTAAACTGCAGCGACATGGAGAATAATGAATCGACACAACGAAATGTACAGCAGAAACATCGACAGAAGGATTAGCCAATCAGATTGCAGGAGACCATGATCATCAACATCGAATAATAGTGTGAGGCTTCAATTAGTGTGATTACAAAACTCAGTACAAAGAATCGATCGATCGATCGATTTGCTGAATCAGCCACAAAAACAAGTCCAAACTATTGGGTAAATCAACAATATCAAGGTTCATTTGTACCAATTCAATTAATCGACCTAAAAAAAACCACTAAATTTGGGGTACATGGGTAATAATACGTTATAAACCGACAATATCAAGGTTCATTTGTACCGATTCCATTAATCGACTTTAAAAACCACCAAATTTGGGGTACATATATATATATATATAT